CACAGGGTTTGCAATCTAGTAGTCCACATTTCCTAAGAATATCAAGTGTATATTTATGTTGACAAAGAAATAAACCAATGTTCCCATGAGAGAGTTCTAGACCAAGAAAATATTTGTGTTTTCCAAGATCTTTCATTTGAAAATAGTTTAAGATAAGCCTTAAAATTATTTCATTTTGAAGTATCATTGCTAGCTATAACCAAGTCATCAACATAAACTATGTGGCAAGAAAAATGGAACCAAATGAGTATGTAAATAGGCTATGATTAGCATGGCTTTGTTTGAAACCATATTGAAGAAGAGTTTGTGAGAGTTTTGTATACCAATTTCTAGAAGCTTGCTTGAGTCCATAAAGGGATTTTCGTAAGCGACAAACATGTTTTGAATTAGGAACGTCATAACCTGGAGGGGCAGCCATATACACCTCTTCATTAAGATCTCCATGAAGAAATGTGTTACTAACATCCATTTGGTGAAGTTCCCAATTCTTAACTGCTACTATTGACAATAAACAACGAACAATAGTCATTTTGGCCACTAGAGCAAAAGTATCTTTGAAGTCTTCTCCTTTAACTTGTGTGTATCCTTTTGCAACAAGACGTGCCTTGTATTTATCAATTTCACCATTGGCTTTATATTTAATTTTGTAGACCCATTTTCATCTCACTAATTTCTTGCCTTCTAGGAGAGGTTCCAGACTCCAAGTATTATTGTCTTCTAAAGCCTTGATCTCTAAAGCCATGGCCTTATGCCAGTGTGGAGATTGCATTGCTTGAGAGAATGTTTTGGACTTATCATGAGACACAATGGTCGTAAGAAAAGCTATATGTGAATTGGAAAAATTATTATAACTAATATATTGTGATATTGGATAAACCTTACCACAAGAACGTTGGATTAGATGCACTACATGATGGGTCTTGTATAGATGCTCCACAATAATAATCCCTCAAATATGATGGTGGTTGCCTATTCCGTGGGACTCGTGATGTGGAATAACCATCAGAATTTGGAACCGAATCTATATTGATTTCATTTTCAAAAATTGATTTGTGTAATCGAATCCTTCAAGTCATTAGATTGAGGTATCACACTATCATCCTGATTTAGCACATGTTCAACTAATGGTGCCAATTCATCATTGAAGTTAGACATTGTGGAGTCATGATAGTTTCGTATCTCAACATTCAATTGCTCTTCCTCAATCATCTGTGCACTGTTAGCAAAAATAGCACCATTAGGTGAGTTATCTTTATAATGATTATATGGAAATATATGCTCATAAAAGACAATGTCCCTTAAGACAAAAAATTCTCTCGTAGTTAAATTATATACACGCCAACCTTTTTGACCTTGAGGATATCCAATAAAAATGCAATGATGCGCTCTAGCTGCAAATTTATCATGTGGCTTAGTTGATGCCTTCATATAACAAAGACAACCAATTACTCTTATATGTGCTCATATGAAGGAGGTTTTCCATATAACATTTCATATAACACTACTAGAAAAATTAATATTTGTGTCAAATTTTTGTGACAAAAAAAATATCATCACTAATAGTGACGAATTTTGTGAGGGAATTTTAATTTTTATGACGGACTACCATTTATTGAAGTTTGTGATGGATTAAATTTTGTCTCTAAAAGATCCGTCACAATTTTCGTCATTGAATAAAAAAATAAAATTAGTGATGGATTTTGTGACGAATTTTTTAGAGACAAAATTTAATCCGTCACAAAATCCGTCACTGAATAAAAAAATAAAATTAGTGACGAATTTTTTAGAAACAAAATTTATTCCGTCACAAAAATAAATAAAATTAGTGACGGATTTTGTGACAGATTAAGTTCCTCTATAAATATTCTCACACAAAAATGCGTCACAATACTATAATAAATAAGTCAGTGACGAATTTTGTGACGGAATTTTTGTCAACATTTGTATTTTGTCACAAATTCCGTCACAAATAGCTTAAAAAATTTTATGACGAAATTTGTGAGGAATTGTTGATCCCTATCAAAATATTAAATTTTATTTATGAAATTTTTATATGTAAGAATTGTGCAGAATTAAAGAATATATGTTAATTTTTTTTTAAATTATGACAAATTAATCCGTCAAAAAAGTTATATTACTAATGGAATATGACCGACAAATTTATATTTGTCAAAAATGTAAGAATTTTTTTACGAAAATTGACAATCATATATAAATAAAGGTCCATAAAATTATTTATATATATATTTATATATATATATATATATATATATATATATATATGATGAGGTTATAATAACACCGATATAACTTTTACTAAGTATTACACCGCTCAATAATTTTATATTAAATGAAAATTTTATAAATCTAATCGTTAAATTGAAAATTCTTTACTCTTAAATCATATGTACAAAATTTTATATTAATCCAAGATGATTTGATACTTCATTCTTATAAAACAAAATTAACGTAATATATACATTTCAAAATATACTAAAATATGAACATTTTGATTACCTTCACGTTGTTGTTCAAATTTAACAAAATATGAACATTTTTTCCATCAAATTCAATCGTTCTAAATGATTTTCATGGTTTGAATCTTGTCTCTAGTGGATTCTAAAGAAACAATGAAAAGAAGCCATTTTTGAGAAAATTGATAAACTTGGTGATGAAAAGAGTGAATGGTGAGAAAAAGTGCTCAAGAACTCAAAGGGCGCAAAAGGAAAGAGGAAGAATGAAAAAAGTTATGAAGCTTAGAGTGAGAGTGTAAAAATCTGATTTGGAAACTCTTACCATATTTATGTTAAGGGTTAAAAAGAATGCGAAGGATATATTTTCTAAATTTATATATTTTTTTTTTCTTTTTGAATTCTTTATTTTAAGAAAAAAGTAAATTTTCTCTATTGTGAAACATAATTTTTCTCATGTCATTGATTTTGACAACTTAAAAATTGATGCTTATTTATTCAATGTGACAAGTAAATCATGTAATTTGTTAAGGCATCATAAATTTTCATAATATAAAAGTGAGACAAAATTGTCCTTTTATATCATCTTTAGTGAAGTTTTTTTTATTTATTTATCACCATTTCTTACTTTATGTGACCCCGTCGATTATCGATAACCATTTTTTTTATATTCATTTTTTTTGTTTATAACCTTTTATTTTATCTTTAACAATTGTGTTCCAACTAATTTTCTTATAAACACAAGGTTCATCTTCATTTTTGATGAATTCAAACTGTTTTAAAGTTTCATTAAAGTGAAGATTCCAACTTCTACAACTTTGCTTTAATCCATAAATGGATCTTTGCAACTTTCACACCTTTCCATTTTCTCTTGGATTAACAAAACCTTTGAGTTGTGTCACATAAACATCCATGATAAGATTCACATTAAGGAATGCAGTCTTGACTTTCATCTATTAAATTTCATGATCAATAAAATATTGCAATACAAAATAGTATTTAGACATATATATTTAAGCATCACATTTGGAGAAAAGGTCTTATCACAGTCTATATTGTGAATTTTCTTGAAACCTTTTACAACCAATTACACCTTAAAGACACGGTCCATTATAGTTCTTTTCTTGAAGACCCATCTATACCCTACAGTTTTTACCCCTTTAGATCGATCAACCAAGGCCATACTTCGTTAGTGTACATGGATTCCATCTCAAATCCCATGACCCTCAAGCCACTTCTTAGATTGAAGCCCAATAATGGACACTTGATAAGTCTCATACTCATCTTAATCCATGAGCAACACATCACCTTCTTTAGTTAAGGGGGGTTCATATCTCTCAAGTTAGTGATGTGGCTTATTATACCTATGCAAGTCTTGTGCCACTTAAACTAGAGGTTGAATCACAACACTTTATAATACTTGTTTATGTTTCAATATAGGTGGGTCAACATTTTGTGGTACTTGAATTTCATCAAGTTCTACCCTCTTATCACTGGCTATTTCAAAGATGTATTCGTTCTCAATGAATACTAGTTCTCATGACAAACATTTTCTCTCCAAAGGTGTTGTAGAAGTATTACGCCCTTTATATTTTAAAATAACAATGTTTAAAAATTGTTAGCATTTAAAAATCTTTAGGAGAATGAAGAAGGGTTTAAGAAATTATATATATATATAACTGTACAAACAAAACATATCTTTATATAGGAGAGAAAAGAAGGAATACCACCAATCTTTATGAGAAATGTAACATTTAATGAAAATTGTGCTTTAGAATATTTAGGAGAATGAATGAATACCATCAAGAATGTAAGAGTATAAAAGGAATATCATCAAAGAATGCAATATTCATGTGTCCAAAGTTAGCATCCACAAGAATTATAGTAAAAAGGAAATACCAGTGGATGGATGAGAAGGTAAGTGGGAAAGAATGTGTGTGGACAATGTATGATCAATTTATAAATTGACCTTTAAATCAACAATGTGCAATTACCCAATTTCGTAAAGAGGATGTAATAAGAAGCAAAATCCCTATTTTTGACATTGACAAGTAAGCAAATAAGTTAAAAGGACAAATAGCCAAGAATACATTGATGTGAGAATGTATAATTTCATGACTCAGTTGATGTGATAATATATGATATCATAACTCAAAATTTATATAAATAAATATATGATAGGATCATGATCAAAATGATATATATGATAGCAACATATTTTTAACGTATATTCTATTACTATTATTATTAGTTAAAATTTATTAAACTTACAAATTCAAATGAGATTAACTCTAATTTAATGACTTTTTCTTCTTCTAATTTTGTAACTTTTTTAGTAAATTTTAAAAATATATGTCAAAGAAAATGTATTTTTAGCATTTTTTTAAATCATGGATTAACGCAATGGAAAAAAAATATAATTTTAGAATTTATTTTATTTTTTCAATTGAGGACCAAAGTGAAATCCCTTACAAATTTGATGACTAAATCAGAAGTTGAGTGTAAAAATATAACTCTTTCCATGTAGCTTAAACTGGTTACTTTAACTCGGTCTTAGTTAACGAGCTCCAGTGCGCCAACCACTTTTTGTTGGTCTTTGAACCCAAGACTTGGATCATCGCACAGTCAAATCCCGTGTTTGGCTTGTAAGTTTGAACCTCGTGGCTCCGCAGGTCCACCTTCTAGGTTGTGCAGTAGTGTAGCCATGTGGTCGCATTGCGCCAAATGCAGAGCCCCTGCACCTGCCATCACGCTCCTCTTAGTGCCACTCATTTGTTCCCTCTTCTTCACCGCTTCCGCCACCTGCTCCAACGCCAATTGCCAGGTTCTCTCTCTCTCTCATTTCCCTTTCAATACAAGAGATCCATGAAAATTCACTTTGAATTGAACTGAATTTGGCAGGTTCTAGAAGCATGTTCTGCAGCCACGGATTGTGGGCCGGGTCTCTTCTGTGGCAATTGCCCCGCTTTGGGCCTGAAGCAACCCATCTGCACCAGAGGCCAACCCACTCTTCCTACATCCATCGTAAGCTTCTTCCTTCCTTTCAGCTTCTCCAAAGCTTAATTTTTTGTGACTTTCCCTTTTGGGGCATGCTGCAGGTAAATGGGTTGCCCTTCAACAAGTACACGTGGATAGTGACCCACAATTCCTTCAGCATCGTCGACGCACCGCCTTTGCCCGGTGTTCAGAGACTAACGTTTTACAATCAAGAAGACTCTGTCACTAACCAGTTGAGGGTCTGTGTAGTGTTTTTGCACTTTGCAATTGCTTACTTTTCTTCATTTTTTTGGCCTGGTGTTTCATTTTAGTCTCTGAATATACTATTTTTGTTCATTTTTAATTGTGGTCGTCTATTTCTATAAATATTTAAAAAGATTAAAAGGGAAAGCTTATGCTATTATAAAGACTAAAAAAAAAATGATATGTATTACCATTAAAATAGGATATTTCTATTTATAGACACTAAAAAGTAAAGTTTGTGAAATTATAGGGACCTAAAGGATAATTCAAATGTTTTTTTTAATGTTTTGTTAATTTAATTTTTTTTTGTTTTTTTGTGATGTTTCTTATGCGTTTGTTTTGTTGATGGTTTAGAATGGAGTGAGGGGGCTCATGTTGGACATGTACGACTTCCAGAATGACATTTGGCTCTGTCATTCATTTCATGGGCAATGCTACAACTTCACTGCATTTGTAATTTGATCCTCTTTGATTTTTCTGTTTAATTGTGTTTTCAATGGTTGTATTTCAATTGGGGCGTGGTCTAAATGTCTAATATTCTGTTGAAATGTTCTCAGCAACCAGCGATAAATACTTTGAAAGAAGTGGAGACATTCTTGACGGAAAATCCTAGTGAGATTGTCACCATCATAATTGAAGACTATGTGCACACTCCAAAGGGTTTGACTAATCTGTTCACTAGTGCTGGACTGGATAAGTATTGGTTTCCTTTGTCCAAGATGCCGAAAAAGGGTAATGATTGGCCCACTGTGACTGAGATGGTTCAAGCAAATCACCGACTTGTTGTTTTCACTTCCGATGCTTCAAAGGAAGTGGGTGAAGGAATAGCTTATCAGTGGAAGCACATGATCGAAAACGAGTGTAAGCACTATATCATTTTAGCATGTGTATCTCCTTTGTACATGATTAGTAATGACTAACTCATAATTGACTTGCTATCAGCTGGAGATCCTGGAGTGCAGCAAGGTTCTTGCCCGCATAGAAAAGAATCAAAGGCCTTAAATTCTAAAAGCCAATCACTTTTCCTGATGAATTACTTTCCAACATATCCAGTTGAAGCTGACTCGTGCAAAGAGCATTCAACTCCACTTGCTGAGATGGTCAATACATGTTACAAAGCTGCAGGGAATTTGCTGCCCAACTTTGTAGCTGTTAATTTTTATATGGTATTCCTTATTTTGTTCTGTGTTGTTATTGGAACTTAATTATCGATCTGCATACAGCATATACTTTGCAATTCCACTTTAGCATTCTGACTGAAATTTAATGCAGAGGAGTGATGGAGGTGGTGTTTTTGATATTGTGGATAAAATGAATGGCCGCACTTTGTGTGGGTGTAGTACAGTCACAGCTTGCCAGGTTCGTCTGCATTTCTTGTCCAAATATGTATTATCTTTATGCCAATTGTTTGTGAATCATCTTTATTCCAAAATTCCTTATTTCTGTCCGTGTTTTGTAACTTTTGTTATAGAGGGAGGAATGAGAGGTAAAAGAGACTGAAACACTAACTGATATTAACCAAGATGTATTACAATGTATTGATGTATTTGGTAAGTTCGTCAATCTTAAACCACTAACCCTTATTTATACTAATCATAAACCTAATTAATTAGGGAAACAAATTATGACGAGGAATCGTGGTAAGCAATCTTAAGTGATAATATGGAAATATGGAAACTAATCCTTGAGGAAAATCTAAAATATGATAAAATATTTTCATATATTCTAACAGTGTCCATTCCCATTCTAGTGACTGGAAACCTAATTGAGTATAATTTTACATCTTGTAGAAAGTTTCTGGAATTTCATCTAATTTACAAATTTCAAGGCATTTATTCAAAATGGTTGTCCACATGAACAGAATATATGATACCTTTGAAGCCTGAATATGCAAATGATGGACTTCAGGTTGATTTGGATTATCCTTCTTAAAATAGAATCAAGCTAATGGTCAACTAGTGACCACATTTAAAATTTCTCCACATTTCTATAATATGTTGAAACCTACAATATCTCAATTTCTTCTTAGTATTGGAGTATTTCATAAAGTGAAAAGTAAGATATTTTTCCATGTATACTCTGTCTCAAATTCTATATCTAACTCAAATCTTTGTTAAACAAACTAGCTATAGATTTATAAAAGTCGGCATGAGATTAAAATAAAAAGATTTACTCTAGTAATGGCATCTTGATGTCCTTTATCTTTGCTTATTTTTCTCAACTATCTTCTCAATCATTTGTTCTTAACTGCATGCTTCCACATTATGTCAATTTCTTTATGAATTGTGTAGCACAATGTTTTGGCCAAAGTTTATTAAGATCCATACAGTCACCATGCTTATTCATCTCTTGTATTTATAACAAATGGAAGAGTACATGGATGAATTTCTATCTTGGCACAGCCTCTACCTACCTGTACAGTTTGGTGAATGAAAATTCTTGCAAAGACAATGATGTTATTACTGCAATTTGTCAGGCAGGTGCACCCTTTGGGTCTTGCAAGAATATTACTGTACCTAGTACAAGTCCAGTGACTAATACGGCCGGAAGCGTTACTGGATCTGTTCAATTTTCTAAATCAGCTTCATCTGTCCATCATCCGAATTGTTTGCTTCTTGTTGTCTTTTGCTTCCTGCAAAGTCTTGTTGCAGCTGTGATGACTAAGCACTGTTGTATAACTTTTGCAATCTAGTCTTTCAAGAGGATCTCTTGTATCTTGACATGTACACTGCAGTGTTGTATCAAGCTGTGAAATGTCATGGAACTGTAGCTAGGTTAGAAAAATTAGATAGACTGGTTCTTGTTTCTTGCTGAGGCTATGTTCAAGGATCTGTGAAGTCATTTGAGTTGATAGTCAAGAGAGATCAAGAATTTATCTGGAGCTAAAAGTAGTTCAGGTATGTGTATTCTTGGATGATAAATCTAATTCTAGATATTTCAACTCTGGATGCATACACGTTCTTTCTTTTCTCTTATTGCACATAGGAGCATTATTTTTGTTTTCCAAATTGCAGTAGTTATTGGCAAAATTACTTTCCAGATACTGATTTTAATAAATAATAAGGTGTTGGCGTGAATCAACCGATCATGCCCTTATTAGGTGCTCATTTTTATTAAATTTAATTCATTTGGGTTTGGTAAAGATGCTACAAATTGGACAAGTTAGAGAACATGTAACCTAAACTTTGCCACTAATCTTCAAGGCCAAGTTGGATTGGACAATTTTTCTCTCCTGTTTATAGTTGGTTTCTTTTGCTCTGAACGAGTTCAGCTGTCTGCTTCATGAGCTAGAAATCTGAGGGTACTAGTTTATATTTCCAAAGGGTTAGAAAATTTTATCTAAGTGAGTGAATTGCACATAGAGTTCTGTAGGCAATTTTTTACCCTGATTTTCCTTTTGATGAATTGCAAGGTGCAGGTAATGTTTCTGGTGTAAATATATATGATATCGGTTTTTCCACTGGTAGTATCTTGTTATGATAATAACTTTACTCGGTATCTACTAAACCCATTCTTTCCATTGTAGATGACTTCTCTGATTATATCTACCTTGCCCGTCAAATAGTTTTAATCAATTTGGGTTTCTTGCTTCCGTTGAAGATCTTTTCATGGTCAAACATTCGTGAACTATTTTGCTCAGAAGTCCTTTGAAGGAATATCGAAGACTATGATAGTTATAATCGAAGACTAATACGAGTTATACAATTCGATGTTTCTGTCATGCTTTTTACTGTATGTGGAAATCCCACGTCTTGCAATGAATTGTGATTATGATGTTGACATCGTTTCCCTGATTTGAAACAATTCTTTTGGTCTTTCAACTGTGTAAATTGTTGGTGAATTTGTGTATTTTGTTTTAACATCTATATTAACAAATTTAGTGCTAGTGCAGTTTTTTTTTCCCCCTTTTTTTTCGGCTTTGCTTTGTCTTATCGTTTTTCTTCAAATGCTGCGTGTTTTTTAGATGGTTAAGATTGTCGCTGTTGACATTGCGTGAACTTTTGATAATCAATTATCTGATTTTTGTGTTGTCTTGGTAATGCTGGGTATTTGCATATTTACAAATACATATGATGTCATTCTTGCCTTCACAAATATTTATAATGTTTCTCGTTTTTAACTTTCAGGTTTTGTACCTAGAAATCATTAGTCAACAAGAGAATTAGGATAGAATGGCTAGAAGTTCTTGATCCTTGTTAAGGTTTGTAGTAATTTATAATTTATAATTGTATCGCAACTATTCATATTTCGTGTCTTTCCTTCCCATTACCCGGTCTTTCGCTTTTGTATTGACGTTAAAACAACCATTGTGATGTATCTTTAACCAAAATACTATAATACATATGGAACACGGAGAACCTAGTTTAATAGAGGAACTTGCACGAGGTATACAATATGCATTGCTTTTAATCAGAAAATCGGTAAGAATTGCTATTATCCATTATTTTATACAATGTGGGTGAAAAATTCAACTTTACAAAATCGTTGAGGATTTCTCACTTAGATATCTTATATTTTAATTATGTCATTAATTTATATGAATTCTTTTATACATTCTTTTACATTAAGAACTAGACATGGAATATAATCTAGTAATTTGGTAGTAAGTGATCTCATAGTCTCAGTAATTATTAAGATAAACTTTGATATATTTTAAGAAAATGATTATAAATTTAACTCAATTTTATAAAATAAATTTTTTAAATAAGGATATTTTCCTAACATGACATGGGATCTGTGGTCACCAACATTATCTATTATACCCAACGTCTGCAATTGAAAAATGTGCATATTATTGAGTCTAACTTAAAGATGTGTCGGTATAATTCAATTAAAAGTAACCACTTTGTGTGATAGGATGGATGCAAAGAGTTGGGTCCTTGTAGTTGTATTTATCTATAATAATTCAAGCAAGTTGACGGAGCTAGAAGACAAAGTGTTATTAGTGCAATTTCATTTTTGCCCTTTCGATATACATATATTAATTTGTGAATTGTGTTGGGCTTTAATTGTGTGCTTTAGTTTGCAAACAGTAATCATAATCATCCTTAAATTGTGAAATTTAATTTAATTAATATATAAAAATATTTTAGAAATTATTTGGTCATCTTTTATTTTACACTATTATATTACTTTATTCTATAATAATTTTAGTCTTAAGTTTACTGAACCAAAAGTCATTAACAATTATTTGGTCATCTAATACGGAAAAATGAATTTCTCTACTTTTTAAAAAATCAAATTCAATTAGATAACTTAGATCAATACATGTTAAAATGATTAAATATTACATTTCACTTCTATTTAAATTTTATTTTAAATTTACAAACAAAGTTTAGAATAAGTCAAAGTATAAAAGTTAATTAACTTACTATCAAATTATTGAAATCAAATATCAACTAAAAGTGTTGCTTAAAACAAATTATTACTGTTATTTTTCCAAATAATTGATTTAAAATAATACATATAACTTAAAATAACTTATACAATACATCCAATAGCCTATTACATGTAGATATTATATGAAAATATAATACATGAAATAAAGTAATACTAATTGAGTATAGAATTATAATAATTATTTTAATTTACAGTAAAATTATATATTTTAAAAAATAATATAATATATATCTATTGTAATAGGGATATATTTTAGTAATTATCCTTTTGGTCTCTATTTTTTAATGGACTATTATACCCCTTGGATATAAAAAAAAAAAAAAAAAAAAACTCTTCTTATATTCTTTTTTATATTTTGGTAACCACCCTTTTGGTCTCCACTTTTAGTGAATCATTATACCTGTTGGATATGAAAAAAAAATTTCTTGTGCAACTTCTAATATTTATCTGTGTGTAATTATTAAAGGTACGAAGTATCCTGATTTCTCTAGTATAATATAATGTGTAATTATAGCGGCATTTGAACTTAATAATTTTTTAATTTTTTTAGTAAAATTTATATGAAATAAATATTTTTATTTTTCAATTAGAATATTATATTTTATAGAAAAAAAAATCATTATTAGACTGAATTTTATATTAATTGTGTATGATGTAAATAATCATACAATTTTAAATGTGATTACCATTTCAATATAAATATTAAAACTGTGTGGTATATATAATTATTAATTATTGACAGATTTAATAACAAAAAAACACTTTATGTTTAATGAAAATTTATTTAAATCAATTATAAAATATCATTTCTGTTTGTTTTAATTTGTTTTCATAAAATAATAACGTTAATAAACATGTTAAAAAGAAAAATGTGTATAAGAAGGATATAAAAACTGCATTATAAAACGAATAGTATATAATTGAAAATGGTCTTACTATGTATAAGAAAATTAAATAAACAAATATCTTATCATATCCTTTAAAGTAAGAATGCCGCATGAATGATAAAAAGTGTGAATAAAAAAAAATACTACAAAACAAGCTAAAAAAAAACACGTGTATGCGCGCACACTTTATATTTAATGAAAAATTATTTAAATCAATTACAAAATACCATTTCTGTTTGTTCTATTTTTTAATCAAATAATAGTTAATAAGTATGTTAAAAAGGAAAATTTGTAGAGGTATGAAAATGGACTATATAAAATGAATAATATATAATTTCACTTAAGTCTTTTGACAATTAATTTATTTATATCTTATTTAATAAATTTTTGAGAAATTCTACGGTACCCATATTATTTGAGAGGGTACCGGTACAGTTATAATTATAATTTTATTTTATATTTTATATTTTTAATAATTTATTTAAATAATATTTATGATATTTTATTCTTTAAATTTTTAAATTATTTAGTTATTTTATTTTTATTTTATATATTCTAATTTTATTTATAATAATATTATTATATATTTAAATAGTTTAATTTTAATAATTTTTTAAGTATATTTTTGTCTTTTCACTTAAAATTTTTAAATTTATATATTTTAATTTTAATAATTTTTTAAGTATATTTTTGTCTTTTGTCTTAAATTTTTGAATTTCTATATTGTAATTTTAATAATTTTTTATTTCTATTATTTATTAATTCTTTTCTTTTTTAATGTTTTATAACATTATTAAAATTTTATAATTTTAATCTCTCTAATTTTATCTTACTTTTTATTTTATAAATATAATTTAGATTATTTATTTTATAATTAAATTAATTATTTTTTAAATTTTTATAAATTTACATAAAATAATATATTAAAATTCCCGATCTTTGAGGGTACGGTAGCAACTCCCTAAATTTTTATGTAATAAGAATTTGTATTATAAATGGTTAAAATTCAATAAGTTATTATATTTATATATACATATTAATAAATACTTGTACAATTTCAAAGTGTTTGGATGTAAATTTTTTTTTTTTTTGTACAGATAGGAAAGATTACAAAAATAGTCACAATGAGGATTGAACCTAGGTTCCCATGCTTCTAACAATCCCAATCCTTCTCCACCCAACCACTAGGCTAAGATTATTATTTAATCACTTATAAGATGTTATCTAATTTTACAAATTAAAAAATTATAAATTAAATTTTAATTGAAAATAAAATAAAATATAAAAGTAATTAAATACTTTCTAAAAATTACATAATACATCACAATTATATTAAAAATAAAAAATTACTAGTCAACATTCACCTAATTTTATTTTATAAAAAGTAAAATATTAAAAATATTTTTTTATAAATAATCATAATTAAAAATTAAGAATTATAAATTTTAAAAATTGAAAATCAATTCAATATATTTTATAAAAATCAGAATTGAAAAAATATTGTATGGATATCAATAATAAAATTATTTCAAATGTGCTAATTGAGAGAAGAAAAAAAAGTTACGAGTTTTTTTTATATAATGGAAAAATGTAGATTTGGGAGGGAAGTGATAAAAGAAAATTGGAAGAAAAGAGAAAAAATAAAGAGGAACACAAATTTTTTAGAGGGAGGAACAAAAACATTTGCAGAGCATAATGAAAAAAATTTAAAACTAATTTTCAATGAAAGAATGAAAAGATAAAACAAAGATATATATGTCGTTGATAGATTTGAACTTAAATATTTTTTAATAAGTTCTCGCATAGACTAAATAATAAGTTATACTGGATAATTTATTAAAATAAGTTCAAAATATTTTGTGTTACTCATAAGATATTTTATAAATTTGTTCAAACACTCATAAATACTTATAAAATAAGATAAGTAAAAATATTTTTTTCATAAATTCTTCTAAATAGAACATTATCTAAATAATGAATAGGAAAATTAAATAAACACGTATCCTTTTAGTAAGAATAGGGGTGTAATGTAAACAGGTAACGATTCAACCGCAAATCCAACTTACATGAACCAACTTAATTATATTTTTTCAGGTTGGGCTGGGTTATTGTGTTTTTTTTTCATTAACCAATTATAATTGAGTTGGATAATAGGTCAAGAGATTTGTTATTTAATGAACTCCAACGAACTTGGTCAATAATAAATTATTAAATTAAATTAAAAATATTATATACAATACAATACATAATACACTTTAATTATATTGTATTTTAATTTGAGTCAATTTACACAAAAGAAAGAACTACATTTGAAGAATGTGACACACTCTACCCCAACATACATATACAGTAATTACAACAGGCCTTTACAGAATTAAAGAGACACATCACTACTGCACCTATTCTACAACTGCCAAATTTCTCCAAACCATTCGTGCTCGAGACTGATGCTTCCGGGGTTGCTGTAGGAGTTGTATTGACCCAAAACTCTCATCCCTTGGCCTTTTTCAGTAAAAATTTATGCACAAGAATGCAAAATGAGTCAGTTTATGTGAGGGAGATGTACGCAATCACAGAAGCTGTCAAGAAATGGAAACAATACTTACTTGGCCAAAA